TATATAAACTCAACACTCAAGAACATATTCCAAATGCCTGGGAGTTTGAAGATCACAAGTTGTGTAGCATTTCTGCTTCATTGCAAAGATTGAAAGCTTACTTCAAATTGATGAGATCTTGAAAGAGTAGAGTCTGCTTCCAAAAAACCTATTATCTTTATGTTCTTTAACTTTACATTGTTATTTGCACAATGAAAATGATTTTGGAATATGCATGAAAATTTAATGTCAAATAGAAGCTTATTTGCTCCTTAAGGGCTTCATATTTCCTCAAGAGATTGTTTAACTGCTTAAAGCAGCAGTAGTTTGTTAATGCAAGCCAGCAGCAATCATTTTTAAGTCTTTTGTAAAGATAGCTGCCTTTCTATTTTCTGTAATATTCCAAAAAACATTTATGTTTAAAGAAGCAAGATAAAAAATACATTGCTTTTTCTAAACCATTAAAGCAACTGCTTGTTGCCTGTAGCAGACAGTATTAATTGTCTCCTTCATGTTTCAATGAAACATGAAATGAAAAATGAAAGGGAGATTATGATTGGCTGCTATGGAGAAAGAGAACCATTCCTTCAACTGCTTTTGATCATGAAGCACTCTGTTACATTGTTCTTGTGGGTAGTCATCTACTACGTCTTTCAAGGTCCCTGTTGATTGACATCAAGCTTAAGCTCCCTATAGATCACATGACAGTATAATTTCTAAAGACCCCAAAGACAACAGTCAGCTGACTGCTTTAGAAGAAATATTCTTTTGGGCAATTTAGAAAATGCGTCTGATCACTTTTTGCCCGTTTGGTAAGCAGTGCTGGCGCTGCTCATCCTCTCCCCTTTCCATTCACATGAACATATCTGTTTAGCCAAGCTGTACTCTATCCTGGTGCCTGAGGACGTATTAAAAATAAGTGTACAGGTGCTGCAAAAGGAAGCTGTTGAGCCACGTTTTCAAAGCCTCCCAACCAGAGCTGTCCCTAAATTGAGACAGCCTGAGGCACTTGCCTCAGGCAACATCTCATTGGGTCACATGGGCACACCTGCCACCCCTTTCCTGCCAGAGCGTCTCAGGTTACTAAGAGCTCTTAGCAACCTGTGACGCTCAGGTCGGTGTTCCGACCAGCTCACTGACATCACAGGTTGCCAGGAGCTGAGGGGACACTCTGGTTGGCCTCCTGCCCAGCTCCTGGCAACCAGCGATGTCAGTGAGCTGGGTGGGACGCCGGACCCCCTGCTGGTAACGTGCACTGACGCAAGTCCGCCACTCCCCCCTTTAGAAACGTGCACCACTAGAACAACCACCACCCTCCACCTCGGGCAGCGAAAAGTCTAAGGACATCCCTAGTTCCAAAAGCCTGTCAACGCACCAGAGGGATTTGGAAATGATCAACACTGTGTAGTACACACCTATGCAGTTGTGTTGCATCGCACTGTGGTGCGGCAACGAATATAACCCATGTCACTTTCAGAAGGCTTTGTTGTCTGGCAGCAGTCTTCATTGATGAACACACCATAACTGCAACTATTGTGTTTACCTAGCATTGTGTTGAGTTTCCAAGGCACTGAGGGAAGGCTGTGGAGGTTGCACACGTCCCAGAATCCCAGAAAAAAAAATAGAAAGGCATTTGGCAAGTGTTTATTAAAATGCCTTAAACACATCTCAAATGCGTCATAAATGCAGGGTAACACTATAGTCGCATTAATCAGCACACATCCTTCAACACACACACACATGTAAACAAGATAAATGTTATTTTGGATTATACGTTCGACCTTTATTACTTGAATTTTTATTGGCTCTACATACCTCTGATCCGATACTGGGTGCATCAAGACAGCAATTTTGGGAGGGGGGAGGTTAGAGGTTCCAGCATCACTAGACATGATATACATCATTTTGAGAAGTACATAATTTACACATTTCAGAGCGGTGAGAAACTGCCAAATGGGATTCCACATTAACTCTTGGGTTTCCAACTTTAAAAAATCTTATATTGCGTGTATGCGCGTCTATGCGAGCGTATGTGCGTATATGCGTGCACTATTTACATTCCCAGAATGCATCATTCCTAATAAAAATGTTAATGAACTGTACGCACCTATGCTCGTATACACGCGTATACATGCGCAAACATGCGTATGCGTGTAAAATACGCAGAAATATGCTGCCCGGACGCATCTCTGTTCCATTCTGGTTTTGCGCATTTTTACGCTACGTAAATATGCGCGGCTATGTGCATAGAGCCATTTATTTGCATATGTTGCATATGTTACAATACGCACATGCGCGCAGTAGTGTGAATGAGGCCTTAAGAGAAGCCTTCACTGGGAGAACCATACAGGCTGTCATTGCTGGCCTCTCATCCTGTAAATGCTGGATGCCTCACTGTCATGCTAAACCTCTTGTCTTGACAATTTGAGTCTGGCTTCTGACTTTCTTTTGAATTTCTTTATATGCATACTTTTTCATTCTTAAAAAGTTAAAGCCAGTGAAACAGCATATAAAAGCCAGGCATCTAGCATTCTCAGAAGGTGGTGAGCAGAGGCAGCCCCCCACATGTCTCTCTACTCAACAAAAAAAAATGCTGCAGACATAGAGTGAATATACTTGCAATAGTTTTTAATACCCCATTGTTATAGCTAAACCCCAAGCCATTCTGAAAGGTCAGCATCAGAGTATGCCAATACTTCATAACATTCCTATTGGCTATCAGTGGCCTGGCTCACTGGCCAATAGGAAAGCGTGGCAGGAAGGAATGGGCAGGCAAGCTTTGGCACTGTGAGGCAGTGACAAAGCCTTGCTGTTGGAACAGTGTTAGCAATCATATTTTTGGAGTCTTTTGGGAGACTTTTTGGGGAGCAGGTATGTTCAGGTGGCTGACTGCACTTTATACTCTTTGGAGGGGGTGGGGGATAATAATAGGTTTTGTAATGCCTTCTTACGTACAAACTAATGGTAGAAACCACCACAGTGACAGCAACTGCTACTGTTCAGTGATTAAGATTCAACTTGTTCAACCACCATCATCTCCTTGCATTATATGAAATGATATCTGTTGTGTTGATTTAAAGATTGTGAATGCATTTGTATATTTCAGTTTAACTGCATGATGATAATCTTCTGATCTTCCACCTTTTCCCAAACTTTCTTGTTTGTCAGTTACCAGAGAGACTTCTTTGAAAACAGCCATGGATGACTATGACATAAGGTCCGCTGCCAGCATTCTGGCCTCTGTCAAAGAGCAAGAAGCTCGCTTTGAGAGGCTGACACGTGCTCTAGAAGAAGAACGTCGTAATGTCTCACTCCAACTTGAGCGAGCCAATGTGCCCTCAGAACGAATGAGCATGTGCAACATAGGCAATGGGCAACCACTACCTACTGCATGGCAACAACTAGTTCTGCAGGTAATGGCCTGCTTTCTATGACTTCTTTTCACTTATCTCACTGACTGTCCATTGAGATAAGTAAATGTTATGTGTCTTTTTCGTTTTTTTGATGGCATTCAAACTCCTTTTCAGTCATTTTTAATTTTGGATAAAGTGCCAAGAGTAGACTTAGTTAAATGTATTTTTGCTGGTTGTGTCACTGTTGGAAGAATCATTCACTTCTTGGGCTAATGCCCATGCAGCAAGTAAGGGGGATATGTGTGATGTGGATAGAGACAGCAGTAAAAACCTGTTTGTACCCCTTCTCCACTCTACTAACAATAATGATTTATTGCTTTGCTCTCATGTTGAAGAGATTTCCCATTACTACCTGTCCTGGTGACCACACAGGAAGCCAGGAAAAAATCTTGTAATGGGATCAAAGACAGCCATCAAAACCAGAGTTTTTAACCATTATCCACTCCAAAGCAAAAAAAAAAAAAGTTTTCCCTCTGAAGTTGGGCTTTAATATTTCTAATAATAATTGATGGGATTAATCATTCTTGAAGGGTTTCCCTAATGTGTCCAAAAATGAATCTGCTTTTGAGTTGTGACAACTACAGAAGGTGAAGCAAATGAATAAACCTGTTCTGGTGACAAATGTCTTGGAGGGGCATATTTCTTTGCTTTAGGAAGAGTTCCTCTTACACCATACTGTGTCTGTAGAACAGGAAGTGAAATGATATCCCCTTGATGGGACACAGACAAAAAAAACTGACAACTATTCTCCACTCTATCCAAAACTAAAAGTTTTGGCTTTACTCCAATTACTGTGGGATGATTGTAAGATTTGTAACTGAGCAGGTGAATATTTTTGCTTGGCGAACCTGTTTGCATGATACTTGTTTCAGTCTTTGATTAAGTAGCTCACAGACTTATCTCATACGCTACACTATATACTACTCATATAAAGTACATGAGGTGAATATTTCCAGATCTGGATAATCAGGCAATGTTATGTCTATGGTCTCACTAAGCCTAAGCAGACACTCTCTGGATTAGCAATCTTGGGGGGGAAAAATCTGATCACTTAGAATAGATTGCTATTGTGCCCCTGGGATAAGGCTAGCACTCTGATTGTCTACTTTGCGCGTTGAAATAATGTTCGGTTGAAACAATCATGCCTTATGTGGAAAGAATATTTTAACTGCCATCTCATGCCCATGGGTAGCCTTAGATTGAAAGCAACTTTGTTGCTATTTTAAAAAATGTGAATGTGAGACAGCCTGTAAATAAATAATCTTTATACTTACCTTTCTTCTCTTAAAGAGTTTTAGGCCTCGCTGCCATCCGACACTTTCATGTACGATCGCAGGTCCAGCACTGGGCACTGTGATCCCTTCTGCTACCCTAAATTAAACATACTGCCCTGCATGAAAGCTGTGTTTTAAGTTTTTTCTTTATTAGACTGCTTCACATTATTTTTTTTAACATAGTAACAGGGTTGCTTTATTTATATTTAATTGCTGCAGGTAATTTAGAGCTAAATGTTTGATTTTGTGTTGTCTACTCATTATTCATGTTTTCTTAGTATCTTTTTCTCCTAAATAACATCATGTCTTACCCACATGTCTTCTATGTGATGTCTTTTGTGGTTGTCTAATATTAGAATTGTGGTATTGTGGCCAATATAGAAAGCACAGTCTTCTGAAAATGTAACTTCCTATATTCTGAGGAAGATTACTGCTTGGTCAGTCAACATACTGCCTTCTATTTAAATTAGAGCAGTGGTACAGGTTGTATTCTATGGTTGTTCTTGTGGTTGGGTAACATCCTGACTTGGTTTACATTTTCTATACAAAGAAACATTTGGAAAGACCTAGTTTTGTGGTTTTGTGACGTTTAGTCTTACAAAGACAAATCCTGCCAAAATATCCTTTGTTACTTTTATCAATCTAAAGAAATTAGGATTTGTGTTTGTGAAAGCGTATTTACATTTGTGACTGTACAACACTTGATATGTGTATGGTTGTTGGTTATGTGTTTAGATGAAGCACTGAGATCTTGAGGAATGCTGAATTAAGTTTGACTTGCTTAGCAGGACATTACATATATGTATACAGGAATACAGCATTAGGAAACATATATACAAATAGAACTTCCTGTGTCACAGATAAGTAAGCATAGAGATTAACATTGCATTACAGCGCCATCTAGGACTCAAAAGACATAACAGTACAATAGCATATGCTGCTGCATTTCCAACACCCTTCTCAACAGCATATGTGTTGTTATATGACTTTCCGCCTCTCTCGAAGGAAACTGTAACAATCCTTTCTCAATGGCTTGGTGAGTGCATCCGCAGTCATTTCTTCTGATGAGCAATTTTGCATGTCGATAATAGCTTGATCTTGAGTGTCCCTGAGCAGATGATACTTCACGTCGATATGCATGGCTCTAGGGGTGATGCTTTCTGATTGTGTCAGCTTTTGGCATCCCTGGTTGCCTTCAAAGATTGGGATGGGGTTACGCCCATGTCCAATAAAAACTGGCAAATCCATATTGCTTCTTGACAAGCATGTGCTGGTGCTATGTATTCAGCTTTAATTGAGGAAAGTGCAACAGTTGTTTGCTTTCTAATAGGCCAACTGATGGTTCCTTCACCCTTTTTGGAAGATGTAACCATTTGTGGATTTGCGGTCTGTGCAGTCTCCGGCCCAATCAGCATCTGCATATCCAACTAGTTATGGATTTGACGCTGCTGGCAGTTGTAGCTTCATCTAAACACATAACCAACAGGTTATGGGCCCAGACACTAAACAGAATACTGCAAGTCAACAAGAGCCGCATCCAAGCTGCTGAAAGATGGTGAGCAGTTCAGATATGAAGTTTGCAATCACAAAGCTCAACAATAGCAACTACCAGCTTTGGACGTTCATGCTTGAAATGCTGCTAAGCAAAGAACACTTGTGTCAAGTACTGAGTACAGACAGACCCCCTAATGGACCCACGAAGGAATGGGACAAAAAGAACAGGCAAGCAAAAGCAATTATAGGTCTGCTAGTGGAAAATGACTAGCTCATCCACATAAGAAAAGAGAATAAAGCTAAAGGTCTGTGGACTGCATTACAGAAACTGCATGAGCGTTCAACCCTAAACAGTAAACTATATCTGCAACGCAGGCTATAGAAGATGTGGCTAGAAAAAGGCCAGGAAATGTATGAACACGTGAATGTCATGCGGGAGATCATAGAACAGCTACGTGCAATTGGAGAGGAAATTAAAGATAACCACCTGGTGGCATTACTGCTATACAGCCGTCCAGTGTCATACAGTGCTCCTATTAACACTCTAGAAACCAGACCTGAGCATGAACTAACACTAGAATACACCAAAGGAAAATTAATTGATGAATATGACAGAAGGAAAGAAAATATGAACAATTAAGAAAACGAGAAAGCGCTGAAGGTGCATGAGAGCGCAAAGCAAAACAAAGAAAGCAAAGCATGTTTTTGCTGGAAAAAGACTGGTCACCTGAAAAAGGACTGTTTAATCTGGAAAGCCGAGCAGAGAGGCACCTACAAAAGAAAGAGCTAAGGCAGCCACAAAGGAAACTTCAGGCACATCATGGAGCACTACCTGTAAAGTGAATTTACCACACGAATGGTGTATTGACTCCATGTGACTCTGCAACGAGTCACATGACTAGTGATGAGACCTTCTTCACAGAAATTGGTTTCATTGCAAAGGATAAAGTTTTTCCAGCAAATGGGAAAAGTATCACTGCAGAAGGTAACGGTCACGGATTCTTGAACTGCATCACACTGTCAGGGGACAAGCAGAGTATCCTCGTGAAAAATTTGCAGACTGATCCCTGCAGACAAACAAGTCAAAACTGCCACTAATAATCCACTTGTATCCATCTATGACACAGACGACTAGGGCACTGAAACCCAGAAGCCATAAACGACATTATAAAGAGAGGCTTATCAGAAGATACTGTAAACCCTACTGCCCTGCCAAATGCTCATGCCATGCAAATGCTGTATGGAAGCAAAAGCCACACATACCTCACTTCCTCAGGCCAACCAAAGAAAAACCACCCACCTCTTGGAGCTCCTGCACAATAGCATGTGCGGACCAATGACAACTCCCACATCAGGCGGGAACCGATATCTACTGACTTTCATTGATAATCATTCCAGGTACACAATATCATATCTGATGAAGCACAAGAATGAAACATCAGAAAAACTTCAAGAGTTTGTAGCCATGTCCAGCAACAAATTCCAACGGAAACCAGGAATTATATGCACCGACAATGGAGGGGAATACATCAGTAAGGAAGTGGATTCCTTTCTGCAGAAACAAGGTATAGTACACCAGACCACCACACCATACACTCCTGAACAAAATGGTGTAGCAGACCGGAAAAATCGCACTCTTATAGAAATGGCCAGATGCATGCTGTCATACACTAACCTACCTAAGAAGTTCTGGGGAGAAGCAGTCATGACTGCAACATACCTACAGAACAGACTACAATCACAAGCCATTGAAAGTACCCCATTTGAAATGTGGCATGGATCGAAGCCTTGTCTAGGGCACATTAGTGTTTGGATGTAAAGGGCAGTGTTTGGATGTAAAGCTTACGCCTATATTCCAAAGGAGAAGTGATCCAAATTGGAGAACACAGCAATTGAAGGTATTCTGGTGGGCTATAGTGAACAAAGTAGAATCCTAAACCCAAAGACTGACAAAGTAACATCAAGTCGCAGTGTTTAATTCGATGAGAACTCATCATCAGAAACAATGATCTGAGGAAGTTGTGAAGTGAATTCGCACAGTGAACCAGCAAAGGAAGCTGAGCAAAGTGAAGCTGCACAGGAGTCAGAACAAGAAGTGGAACTCACAATTAATAAGTCAAGTTCCATGTTAAATTCTGCTGAACAAATTGAAATTAGAAGATCCACTTGGGCAACAAAGGGAATACCACCCCGCAAGTTGTCATATTCTGCTAAGACACATAGCATACTTGA